GGAAAAGGCACCAATACTGGAAAGCGTCAAAACCATGCTTTTCCTCTTTGTCGATTCATCTTTTATGCAATTAATTTCTAAATATTAAAAATAAAATGCTGCTATAATTGTGAGAATACTACAATTTGGTCTACACTCAGACATTGAGTAAAGTACACTTTACTCCTCAACTACAACTCCAATTTTTACATTAAAATTTTATTTTCAGTAACAAGACACCAGTGAACAGCAAATCTGAAAATCTTGCATGTTTACTGCAGTAAAAGTTCAATAAGTAAGTTACCCTATTTGTCACAATACTGCCAGAGTGCCAAAGTAGATGCTTCTGTCAATTCTATGTTTCATAAGAAAATTAGTTGATTTCGCACTAAATTATGAATACAAAAAATAATTTAATTGTGAAGAACTATTTCACACGAATCATATCTTGAGAACTTCGCAATGAAAAACCATTCTCTTCCTTTTGCCAACTTCATGAAGTTAGTATTAAATAAGTGTAAGAGTAATAAATAGTGCAACGAACACAGAAGCTTAAATACCATGTTTACAGGCAAAAACTCTTAAGTAAGCTCTCCTCCTACTTTAGACTCTCCTGTCAATAAATATAAGTTGCAAGTCAGTAACTTCATACTATTCTGAAGGTGGGATTTTGGTTTTTTAAAGCAGCTTTATGAATCAAAGTTGAGTATTAGCAAAAAACGCCCAACTGGCACAGAACTGAACAAGGCTATTCACATCTCAAGACAGGCATTCACCAGGAAAGCCTCAGAGCAGCAGCATACACCAAGGGGAGGGACACAAAACTGGGAAGTCAAATGTGGATTTTATTCCATTCCCTGCTAAGTGACTGCAGGCAAGCCTACGCTCTTTCACAGCTTTGTATCTGATGCCTAAAACAGGGACAAAAATGATTGTTCCTGGTTTTGAGGTGTGTGATTACAGTACGGCTTATGTACTTCGCCAGACAAGACAGAAAGCACATGAGTAAGACAATGCCTAGAACTGCCAATTATTAATAACATAATTATAATTGAGAGAATAGCATGTGCTTTTTTCTTTTTCAAGCAATGCAATCCAACAGCAGCCCACCGAGCCATTCTTAAAGTTGGAGTAATCCTTATGCTGGTTCAGGTTTTATCCCTTCTGAAACTATTAAGAAGGGGGACAACAGGAGTCTTTTGCAAAATTCACATGGTCCACTAATACCACCCTCATCCCATTGCTCTCAGAAACACTGTATCATCACTGATCTTGAAAAAATAAAAACAAAATAATAAAAAGGAAGTAAGCCCTAATAATCTTCTGACATAAAACAGGATGCAAAAGCTTCTGGCAATGATACCCCAGGAAAGGGGGAAACATGGTAGAAGGAAAAGAAATAAACTTAATACTACAGAAGTCAGAAGGCCGACCTTTTCCTATTTCTTCTCGGGAATATTTTGAAATACATAGATGATTTCAGTCCAGTTTTATAGACTCCTAAGTAATAAAGAAAACATAAATTAAGTTTACAGTAAGGTAAAACAGTAACTGTACTGCTTTAAAACAAACTTAATTCACTCAAGAAAACTGTCCCAATATATAGGCACCATATGATCTAATGATACAGGGAAGTACCGTTAGTCTCCATTTGCAGGTGGCAAAGGGACATCTGGCTGTGCTTATAAGAGTAAAGACCCTGGAAGCCACCAGCAGGCCACAGCAGTGCTGCTGACTCCACCAGCAGCTGCAGCAGGCTACCCCCACGACAGTGCCAACAGGGCACTGAAAGTCCAGCTTGGGTCCAAAATTTGGAAAGTGGCCTCTGGTTTTGACTACATCACTTGCCAGAGCTCAGAGACAGCCTGTGACACACTCAAAATTAAAACCAAAATTTCGGTTTGGTTCCAGTTTTAATTTACAGTACCTTCTGCTACCAAGGAACAGCCTTCAGATAAAAAGGGAGGCCTGAAAGCCACGTACCGTTGGAAGAGAGGCAGCGTCTCACCTTGCAGGTGCCCAAATTTCACTGCAGGTGCACTTACAACCTTCACATCACAGCAGAGCCTTGCACACCACAGGTCTCGTCTACCTTACTGGCACCTCTCCTACCAACACATGTGATGGAAGAGTAACTCTCCCCAGCTCACTTGGCGAAAATTTCCTCTCCTCAAACCACTCTCCTCCCAGGCCTACGCCAGAAGACTGCCCTGCCTCACGCCATGTTGGCTAAGCTGCAGAGACAATGTGCATCCTCAGCCCGCAGACCACGAGTGGCAGCAACCTGGAAAAACTTTAAGGTCTGAATGCGAGCAATTCTATAAGTGAATTTAACAAGACTTGTCATCTGCTTAAAGATATTCACATGCTTACAGGATCACAAGCTACGGAACCACTAATTTACGAACAAAGTGTATTAAGATCATTCTGGATGAACAGGAAAAACGTTAGCTAGAAAATAATTGCACAATTACCTCTGATATTTTATGTAGAAAACTGACATTTAATATCTTTAATTATTCACACAACAGCTATGAAAGAGAAAGGTTTTCTTCCTTGAACGGGAAAATAAACATGGTCAAATTCCTCTCCATCCTCACCACTCCTACACTCCTTTCCTAAATAAACCTCTTGCTGAAGCCAATGGAAGTTTTGCAGGCAATGAGCTTACAGCAAGCAGTGCCCAAAAACTCCAAAGCATCGAGGGCAAGCTTCTTAAATGTTCTGACTTTACCTCAACGCGGAAACCAGTCACGTTTCTGATAAATTATGTGTCTGCTTGACATGGTTTATCAGCTTGCTGTGCCAAGAGGGACAGTAGTATGCAATGAACTTTTGAGACCATGGGCCAATTTTTGAAGCATTCACAAGGCCACTTCTAAGCAGCTTCACCTTCCAGCTTGTGATACACCACCACTGCACTGGCATTTGTTAAGCAAGACCAGAACTCAGGTGTCTTTCCTGAACGTCAAGACTGAATTACTAAAATCCATTCATGAACAGTTACTTTAGTGAGAACTGTATAATAAAAGAAATCTTCCCTTTTACCAAAATAAAAGCTCCCTAAAGTAAATGGAGGTTTCTAGTCATAGACAAATCTAATGAAATCTCTGCTCTCACCTTCACTAAGCACATTATTTTTATTGCCTTTTTTAAGCTTTGAGGAAATGTATTTCTTTTCTTCCTCTAAAGCTTCTATTATGTCTCTTTCGTCAAAAAGATACCCTATCCTTCTTTTCTTTTATCAAGTCAGTTCAACATCAGGCAAGAATTACATTTAGCATTATGCACAAATTCAAGGTCCACTCCTCTTACAGCATGGGAAGATTACGATCACCACTTCACTTCCAGGATCAACATTCCATGCATCCAAAAGACTTCATCACATAAAACTAAAATGAGATAATGGCTGAAGAAGCTACCTGAAGCAAGGTTCGTGAGCTACTCTCATTCAGTACCCTTTACTATTACTCCAAAAACCAAAGAAGTCCTTAGCGCTCACAGCACTCTAATCTGACTCTTACCTAAAAATACAGAAAATTAAGTTCAGAAATCAGTACATTTGTATTCAGCCCTGAACAACATTTTGAAGCCTATCTGCCAGTTTTTGAATTTCCAAATGCGTCTTTACTTGGAAAAAATTGTTGCACCAATTACTCTACACAGAACACAATCCTTGTCAGTAATGCTATAAAACCAAAAGCAATATTCTCCCATGCAGCTAGTCTGTCAAAGAATTTCAGTAACTGAATTTGGTGTTTATACTCTTAAACCTACACATACCAACCTCACTGCACACAAAATCCGTATGCCTGAAATTTGGGTGTAAATCTGCAGGAACTGGAGAGCTGCAGAATCCTCCCTTCAAACCAACTTCCCACTGTGGTTATCCCAGCCTTAGGACTAGCTTTGTGGTCATAATATCAGACCAGAACAGCTGCTCCCAACAGCCCCCTTCAAGTCAGCACGTTTGGGACCATCACTTATCCTATGTCTGCTATACACTGCCTGGAAAAGGTCAAGAGTATGTTATTAATCATTTGCACTTATGAGCAGTAACCTTACCCCATGTAAGCCCCCAAATACATGTCTTGTCTTGTTTTTAACTACGTACACAATAGTACCAAAAAGAAATGCTACCTCCCACTTCCCCATTTTGGACCAAATGCAGTTCAGTGCCACCATGGACGATCATATGAGAAAAGCTCCAGATGCCACTCATTTTATGTCATCTATGAATGTGACCCCAAAAATTTAGAACCTCTTTTTAAACTTCTACTTCAGCGTAAAAGGTGTCAAACCCTTCAAATGGTGTCAACACTTTTCCCAGCATACAGACAAAAAAAATAGTTGTTGTGTACCCAAAAGCTTAGGAACACTAGTAAATTAGTCACTAAGATTCATCTTTCAAATTGATTGGTACCTGCATTAATCAATGCCAAAAGAAAAAACACTACCACAGAAAGAGTATGGAAGGAATTCTAATTAGCTCTCAGTTTATGCGTTAAAACTGAACCAACTCCTGTTGCAGTAGCATTACAGTTCCGCTAAACTTCTCACTGATTCTTGACCTCCAGAGTTTTCTAATTACCTATCCTGTTTATATTTTGGGACTTTTCTACCACTGAATTTTAAAAGGACTTTACATGTTCATGAAATTTTTGATCTGTGTATTGCACTTGGCATATTCTAACGTTACTCTGGTTTCAAACTTGTGCCCTAAGTCAATCAGCTATCTTTACAAAACAAAGTATAAGGGAAAAAAAAAAAAAAAGAAGAAAAAAAAACAAGTGAAGAGAACTCTGAATATGCACAGCCTTTTAATTCCCCGGTTATTTGGATGCACCCCTACATATAAACTTTGTAATCTAGCAACTGCTATGAGCACCCAGAGAAGATGTGTTTTCTGAAGCACTAAAACCCAAAAAAGCATCTTCCACACAAAAAGTGGCAGCATGAGGACCTCTATCTTGTCAACAGCAATAGAGTTCTTTTTCCATGTGTACAGTTTACATACTTACCCAGGAAGGCAAATGGAAATTACAGACAGACGAAGATGAAGCTGTCCCAAAGCCTTTGTCATGTGATAGTGACCTATAAAGTATCAAATAAAGGCACATCATCAGCATACCATGATTTTACAATATTGTAACTCACCACAACGTCAACAAGAGGAAAGATCCCAAAACTTGAAACTTGCTTCCTCCTCACTCCCACCCCAGCTAAGTTGTCAATAAAATAAGATGACAGTCGCAGGGATCGGTAAGGAGCAAGGAAAAGATGCATCGTGTCTTTAAAGGGCATTAGGAGTGGGCAAATGGAGCAAATTATCTGAGTGTGCATCAGCAGGGTGGGTTATTTTTCCTCTGCCTCTCGAACACAAGGATGCATGTTTATGCGCTCACACAGACACATATACGTACACACAGGGATGCATCATGTAATTATTTACATGCACACAGAGAGATACTCGCACATATTATCAAAATAAAAGGCAGAAAGTTGACCACCATCTGCAAGGAGGCATACGTAACAATGAACCCCGGGAACTTACACAAGTGAGCGATCAATCCCCGCGCGTGGATAAGCCAAACAATGCAAAAATTAACAACACGAATGTGCCGCCAGACCGCAGGTACGAGATCCACCCGCGGAGACAGACAGACAGACAGACAGACGAGAGGGACGGACGGCAGGCTGCGAGGCTGGAGCACAGTTCCAGGTAAAGCCCGTTTTCCCCCCGGCAGAGCCCAGCGGAGCCGCCCGGGGAGCCCCGGCCGCCCGGCCGCCCCTCGGCCACCGCAGCCCGCGGGGACAGACCCCCGGCCAACGCGGGGGGAGCGGCGCTCGCAGCCGCCGCCCGCCCGCCGCCCACCCCGCCCGTGCAAAGTGTAGGGCCACCGGAATCCGGGCTCCGGGGTGGGGTGGAAAGAAAAGGTATTAAATATGGAGAAAGACCGCCGTGACCCAGGGTTTTCCCGTCTCCCCCCCGCGCCCCCCGCCCCCGGTCACCATCAAGTTTGCATCCTAGTTACAAAATGTCGATCTTGAAGGCTGACAAGACACAGGGAGAGGGGGAGAGAGCGAGAGAGAGAGAGTGAGTGAGTGAGTGAGAGAGAGAGAGAGAGAGAAGAGAGAGTCCATCTTGCTTTGAGGGGGGAGGAGAGGAGCAATAATGCAGCGCATAAATCTCACCCTCCCGGGGGAAAAGTCTCCACAACACCTTTGGGGGCGGGCGGGTGCGCAGGGAAGGGGCGGCGGCGCGGGGAGGGGGCGCGGGGGGCTCCCCGGCCCTCCCAGCTGCCCTCCCGGCGGGCTCCGGCGAGGCAGGCTGGCAGCAAACACCTCCCTGCTGCTCCCCTCCTCCTCCCCGCGGGCCCGGGCGATGATCCCGCTGCTGCCGCCGCCGCTGCCACCGAGGAGGAGGTGCCGCCGCCGGGAGAGCCACATGGAGACCGGCACCCCGTCCCTGCCCCAGCGGCCGAGCCGGGCCCCTCCGCCGCCCCGCCGGGCTGCGGGACTTGGACGTGTCACCAGCAGGACGGGCAATGGTTTCGGCGCCCCAGGCCCGAGTGACCACCCCCGGCCTGGCGGCGCCCCGGCCTCCCCGCACACACTCACCTCCGCAGAAAACTTTTAACCGCGGGCCTCCCCTGGAAAAAGTGGCGAATCCGCCCCGCACACGGTTAAAACCCCGCGGCCCCCCGGCTCGGCTGGCGGCGAGCGGGGGAGACCCGGGCACGGTCCTTCCCCGCCCCGGCGGGGAGGGAGGGAGGAGGCAGCAGGCAGGGAGGGAGGGGGCGGGCAGCCGCCTGCCGGTGCCTCTCGCCCCGCCGCCGTGCATGTCGCCTCGGCGGCTCTCGCATCGCTTCGTTTTACCTTCCTCATTCAGCGGCAGCAGCGGGCTGCCACCGATATTCCTAACGCAAACCTGCTGCCGTGCGGCGCCCGGGATTAACGCGACTGCCTCCCTTCCCCTGCCTCCAACCCTTCCTTCCTCGTCCTCCTCCTCCTCCTCCTCGCAAACCCACACTGGATCGGCTCTCCTCACAGCCATGCAAGTTTCATACATTGCAAATAAACCCGAGAGGAGGAAGAGCGAAGCGGCTGGCGGGGAGCGGGGGGGGGGGGAGGAGGAGGAGGAGGAGGAGGGCTGCTTTCTGTAATTTACCAGCGACCCGATCTCGCAGCAGCAAATAACAGCCGAGCACCCATCCGGCTCCTGGCGGCCGTCAGAGCCCCTACCGAGGCGGCCGCCCCCTCCCCAGGGCGCCCCTCGCCAAGTTTTCTGTCATCGCGACCACCCAATGTCACAACTTACCTTCAGAAATAGGACTTCGCGCGGCCGAGGCCTGCCGCCGCCTCCCCCTGGCCCCCGCCCGCCTCCCTCCCTCCCTCCCTTTCTCCCTCTCCACCTTAAACTTATTGACACAACATAATCCCACATCCACGCCAAACTCCGGCAGGGCCGCCCGCCCGCCCCCCCCCCGCTGCCCACCGGGGCCGCCGCCGCCCCGGGTGCATCGCCGATGACTACCGGAAAACGCACAGCCCAACTCTCCGGCCGAGCCCGGCGGCCGCTGTTGTTGTCGGGGTCGGCGCCCGGGTTTTTCCTCCCGCTCCCCGTGCGGCCGCCGGATCAGCTTCTCCCCCCTCTCCGGTTTTATATCCCACACCGCCCTTTCTGCCGACGGCGGCGCGGAGCCCCCCAGGCCGGCGGCAGCCGATACCGCTCCGCGCACTCTCCCCCGCGCCTCGCCGCCCCTCGGGATGAAGTTTCGTTTCTGCCTGCCGCGATTTCCCTGTCAAGTCCTCCCGGAGGCACGCACCGAGCGGCGACCGGTGGCCATCCCTCCTCCTCCTCGCCCTCCTTCCCCTTCCTCCCTCCGCCGCTGCTCTTGCCTCTCTCTGTGGCGGCGAGAGGTGCCTGGTTTCAAATGCAGCCTGGCACTGGCTGGCCTACCCCCGCCGCCTCTCGGGCTCGGCTCGCTGGTGTGTTAAATGCCCTGCGCTGTACCGCGATCCACTTCGCCCCCTCCCCGTCAAACACCCCCGGTCACCTCTGCCCTCCCGGCCGGGTGGAGGGCTGGCGGCACCAACCCACCCGTCCTCCGCTGCCCAAACTTTCCAAACGAAGGCAGGGCTGAAGAGAGGGAGGAAAAGTGACTGGGAGCAGCAGCAGCCGCCGCGCCGGGCAAGGGAAGCTCCGCGCCACCCTCCCGGCCGCCGGCGCCGCAGGCGGGGCGCGGGGGGCTACTCCGCCGCTGGGGCGCGGATGGGAAAGTGTGGGGTGAAGGCACCCCTATCTCCCTCTCTCTCTCTCTCTCTCTATCCCTCCCTCCCTGCCCGCTGCTGCCCGTCTCCGCCCGCCCGGTGCGGGGCGGCGGGCGGGCGCACTCACTCACCTCGGCGGGGCGCGCACCGCGCCGCTGGGCCGGACGCGGCTCGCCGCGCAGCCCCTCCGCCCCGGCGCCCGCGGAACGCGGCTCCACACAGAGCCATGCAACCCGGGCAGCGCCACAACACTCCCCGCGATATAAGCCGGCCCGCCATTGGCCGGCGCGCTGAGCGACGGGCCCGCCGGCCACTCAGCGCCGCCGTTACACCCGCGGCCCGCGAGGGAGCTGCGGGCGCACACACTCCCCGCACACACTCACACAAAGATCGCCGCGCTGCCCCTCGCGGGGTTCGCGGAGCCCCCGGCCGTGGTGCCGGAGCGGGGCAGGGAGCGGGGGCCGCCCGGGGCAGCGCAGAGCCGTGCCGGGTACAGCGAGGGCAGCCGCTGTCCATTGGCCGCCCGGGCAGCGCTGCGAGAGTAAACTACGCCTGCCCTGGGCAGCGCCGCGGGGTAGTGGGGTGCGGGCTCGGCTCGGCTCGGCCCGGCGCCCCCCAAACAGCTCCCCCGGTAACTTACTCGCCCGAGTTGGGCGGGTTTCATTCAGAGGCCAAAGCACGGAGAGCCAGAAGTTGCCGGAGGCGGCAGCGCATCCGCGCAGCCCCTGCTGGGGCAGTAAACACGGGGAGCCACCCCCGCGGCCCGGGGACGGACGGGCCGAGCCGGCAGTGCCCCCTGACCCGGCCGCGGGGTTTGAGGCGGCGGCGCCGCGCGGGGATGCGGCGGAGCTCCGGGCGGTGCCCGCTGCCGGAGGAATCCTCGCCCAGGCGTGGCGGAGAGGCCCTCACCGGGCCAGCATCGGCAGCACGGCCGACTTCACACCGGCTTCCCGTAGAGACAGCTCGGCCGGCAGAACTAGCAGAGTATAGCGCTGGGGTCTGCGCCACGCTCCGCGCCCTGCTCGGCCCCCTGCCCTGCACCTCGCGGACGGTACCATCCGCATGGATGTGAAATTCATCTGAGAATTTCTGTGACTCACGGGCTGGTACGCACAAAGCGACAGTGTGAGGCCAGCAGCTTTTGGGTGGCTGCATGGCGATTGTGCTGACGGGTGCTGGAAAAACCCCGTGGAAATGTAGTCTAACTTTTTTGGAGAAGCTCCTTTCTGCTGCAGAAATCAAATACAACATGAAAGCGTACTGTGTACACTGATCCTGTGTAATAATGTTTGTGAAGGTTTGAATATATGCAACATGAGACCTTTATGGTTTTTAAGGAGAAGACACATGGCATTTATTCTTATGGTTAGGAAGCACTAATGTTTCTGTGTGGAAATGTCTCCAGGTGGGATGCTGACAAATGGCATATTAAAAAAAGGGTCAGAAATAATAGTTGTAACAAAAATGGAAACTGAAGTGTACTTGGGTTTTTTCCAGTAAAAGAGCAATATTTGTGTTTCACAATGGTTTTACATATCCAACGCTCCAAGGATGTTGCAACGATTATTCCATAGGTTCTCAATCCTGTGCTTTATTCCATTGTGATGGTTGATTTCAGCATCTTCCCGTGGTTTTCCTGCTCTTCTTTCATTCCTCCCACCTCTTCCAGTATGGCAGAATTACGTTGAATAACTGTGAAATAATATCTCTTATGTCTGAATAATATAGTGAGGTAAAGTACAAGCTGATGTTAGAAAACTGAATTGCATCTGTATTCGTAAGAAAGCATTTTAAATTAGCTTGCACGTTTTTTCTTAAGATGTGGCAAAAGTATTGTAAATGCCCCACCCTCTTGATTGTTGTAAGCAGGCGTGGGTTTGTCAATACCTGAATAATATAAAAATAACAGGATAAACACATTCTTGTAATTAATGCATTCTACCTCATTATTTCATTTTCAGTGCTAAGAAGGCAGAGCCGACCATCTATCTACTGGAAGTCAGGTGCATGTCAGGTGTCACAGTTTGGGACACTGGTAAGTGAAGGCACACAAATTTCACTAGTCACATATGAAAATGTTACCCTCATTTTTAGGCGGAACTCCCTCCTGCCATTTCTGGATTGTGAAGAGCTTTGCAGTAGTGGGTAAGCAGCATCTTTTCAGTATGCACAAGCAGTTGCTGGTAAAAGTAAGAGGCCTAATCCAGACAGTTAAAATTTACATGGTGTAGTTTCTTACATGTCAGTGTTAGTGCCTTGTTTCTTGGATTCTTTTACCTGTATTAATAATAGCACACCATGGAGTCTCTTATACCTCTTCATTGCTAAAATCCTGCCAAAGCAGGTAATTACTGAGCAATATAAGTGTTGTAGACGCTTCGTAGTATACATGAACTTCATTTTAAAAGATGCTTAATTTTGTTGTTAACAGAACTGTCTATTATACTTGATGCCTTTACTGGCCATTTCAGAAAAGAGGCCAAGAAAAGGACACCTTGCATGTAAAGTAGTTTTTTACAGCTGTGCAAAATGGATATACAGTGCTTCTAAACAGAACAATTGTGGTTTGTGTCTGCTTTGTACAGTTACAAATGGCTCGTGAGTTAGTTGCAAGGCAGGCCACCTATTAGGCCTGTAGAAGCAGAAGTATTTTGTCACCCTTTAAAAGAGATGAGTAAGCTGAGGTATGCTTCTATGGTCAGAAAATAAAATGTTTGCGTTTCCACTGCCTTTGATTTATTTTGTCTATACTGAAAGAGAGAACTGTATTTTTTTGGGCTATCAATCTGGGACCTTCTGCAAACACTGAGGTCATGAAGGGGAGAGGGAGAAGTTAGTAAATATTTCTGGGTTTCCATTTTTCTGTATATGATTTTAAGCAAATTACTCTCTTTGGAGAGATTTAACCACTTGGAGATGTTTCTGGCTTTAGTCAGTCACTGTTATCAAGAGTTATAAGGTGTTAGCAAGTGTCTGTGAGGAATTTTTCAAGGGACAGAAAGTGCTGCAAGATTGAAAATTGCTGATTATTTGTTGTTTTAAGACTTCACACAAGTTGGACATCTAGATTTTTCTGCAAAGTCTTGTGTCATCAGATGGCACTTTTCTGTCACTCCTGTGTAACTGGTATTGTAATGGCCAGTCTCTTCGCGAACGAAGAACCGGGGAAGGTCTTTCCACCTTCCAGCCTGCGCATTGGATTTTTTAGGTGAGACACAGTGTGTGCGGAACTGAGCCCACCCTTTAATCCTGAGGTTCATCTGCCGGGGCCAAGCACGCTTGGACGGTGGCAGCGAGGTCCTCAGGACGTAGATGGATTGCCTTATGGGCTAAAAAGAGATGCCCTGACCCTACCTTGTGGCATGTTCCCATATGCTCCTCTTACAGCCAGCGCTCTGCTGGAGTCAATGCAGCTCAGCACAGATAAAGTGGTTTGCTGGGATGTGTGCACAGTGGGATTTGGGGCTTCGAAGT